TTAGTTTGGGTGACTGTGCTTAGACTTTCTCTTCTCTAACTCCCATGACCTCTTCAGACAGGGCCTGAATTCATGTTTCTAAAGCCTTGCCCATTTTTCCTTTCTTTCAGTCAGCTCAACATCCTTGGCAGGCCCATAAGCACACACTACCCATTTGTACTGCCACACATTTCTGGCAATGTCTCTGGGCTGAAAAAAATGGAAGAAGTCGGTATAGTTAGAAATAAATAGCAATATATTTATAACTGAGAGATAAAGCACACATAGTTAATCTAAGCCTTAAGAGATCTGACTTTGTTCTGCATAAATACAGGAAACTTCAACAGATATGCAAGTGTGGAGCAGGGAATGTAACTCTCTAAGGTAATGCTTTTTGAAAACTAATTTCTACATGAGTAATTCTGGATAAGTAATTTCTCCCTTTCTGTTCTAGTTTTCTACTCTTAGAAACTAAGCTACTAATAGGATTAACTGGCAAGTACTGTGATGAATTACTTAATATTCACAAAATACTGGAGTCTCCTGGGATTACAACAATATACAAATATTGGATAACTATTTCATGTCAAACCTACATTTAGCTAAGAAATTTTCAGCTTGAGAGAGAATACACAGACTTGTTTTCTGGACAATGGATTGAAATATTCACTGTCATTTCAGGCATTACTGAATGATGGCCTGTTTCAGGACTTTTCAGACGTCAGCAGTAAGGACCACTTTCCACAGCAGCACTCTGACTGCAGGAGATAAAAGAATGTTTATCCTTTTTCTCGCAGGGGAGGAAAACAATGACAAAAGCAGGAAGGCAGCAGTAATTCAGATATCTGGATGTGGTGATAAAGGGTAGGGAGAATGGAGAAATTTTTCAAATAAATCCATTCTGGCCAAGATCAGGCAGGTAGAAACCAAGTGTATACGACATTGAATTGAATTGCGAATCATCATCTTAAAATTAAGTGATTAAAGAAGATTTTAAATCTCATTGGTGGGATAAGAAATGATTTGAAATACACAAACCAAAGCATTTCAAACCTTTACAACACAACTTTGTGCTGCTTTTCCTGAGTGCACTATACAACCCTGAAAAAGAAGAAAGGACACTGCATTTGTTCAAAAGCATTGCTGCTGCACTCCATGAAGTACACTTAATTAATACTGACATGTTATTGCTTCCCTCTTGACATATTGTGAGCAGTCAGAGCTAGCCAAATAGCAAACTGGTATAACCTCTGGCTTGGAGAAAATTCTAGTTAGTGACAAACAGTAAAAAATAGCACCTGAGAACAAGGCAAATCTTAGAACAAGCATTGCTCAACAGAATAGAGTGAATGAATGCATGGAGTTAAATATCAACTCTATGAGGAATAGCTTAGTTGCACAAGGAAATAAAGAGAATATAAAGACAATTTCTCTTTGAAAGAACTAGTCTTGTTCAGCTGATGTAATTAATAACCCCCCAACATTTCAGAAGGAGTGGAAATAGCAGTGAGCATGAACTCCTGCAGCCAACTCCCTCAGAACAGCTCCCACCTTAGGTAATGCAACAGTGTGACCCAATTGGTTCCATTTCCCAAATTTAGTTAAGTAGAATAGAACTAAACACATTTTCACATGGATCAAGCCCCCAACACTTGGTGCCATGTTGTATTAGGCATTTCACAATATCACAGAAGCAATTTGGTTGGAAAAGACCTCTGAGATGATGGAATCCAACCCATACCTCATTAGTAAGACAAATACAAGAGTTAACCTCCCCCCTCCCATTTATATCAGCATCATTTTGTTGATGAACTGATCTCCTTCACCACTCAACTGCTCCAATTTTCACACCATCACCAAGACATCCTATTTTTCATTTTGGTAAATCTCTGAAACAGGAGTAAATCAGTGATGACCTTAGAGACAGCAGCAAAATGAGTAAGAACTTGTTTCTTTAGAAAATGGTAATTTTGGAAAAATACAGTCTTTTAACAGCTGATACCAGACAATAAAAAATAACTTCATTCATGTGATACATTAGACTTCTGCAGAGAGCATGTCTCCACAGTCACATTAACAGCATGTGGATGTCATGTCTGCATTAGAGACAAATGCAAGAGTCTTTATGCACGAACTCCAAAGCACAGCATATGCTGCAAATCACAGGAGGAACTGCAACAGTCCTGAAGCCACAAAACTAACCTTTCTGGTCCTTATTCACATATTTCTTCAGTAATTTAGATTAGTTATGTTGTTTATGTGTTGAGAGAGTATATCATATTTAGGAATAAGTACTTAAAGAGACTTACGGCCTAAATGCTGTATAGAAAATAGTAGTAAAGCTTCAAAGTTTATTTTTTCATCCTTACCAGAGTGATGTAACATCATTAAAAGGGTGGATTATAAAAGGAGAAAATTTGGCTATTCCAAATACGCCATTGCTGTTCGTACAAATTTAAACAAACAGTTTATTTAGCTTTTGTTTTTCTCTGGACAACTTCAAAGAATATCTCAAATCAAAGATTCACATTTCCAAATCATTAGCAGGACATTTCACTGAGTGTCGGATGTCACTCATTCTAAAATTTTAATCAAAAGGAAATAAAAATCCTTCAAAACTGATTTCAGGTTAAACTACTTTAAGTAATTTTACTCAAAGAGGCAGGGCTGGATACTTATGCTACTTGCTAGAGCTCATGTCATCCTCGAGTCTTATTTCCTTTTTGTTGCACTTTATACATAAAGTCATTATGATCTATACTTGGTATTTGCCCCTCAAAAAGAAATTCACCCAAGTTTATTAAATAAATCTAAGTTATAAGGTAACTTTTTTGGTAGAAATAGTAGCATTTTATATGTCTTCCTAAGCATTGCTGGAAAGCTGTATCAAGTAATTTTTAAATACCAAATCACATAAAATAATTGGGTGTTTTTACACAGAACTTCGTTCATAAATCAATTGTCAGCTTACAGTTGTGAATACAAATATTAGAAGTCAATGTTTCAGCTGTTGTTAGAGAGGCTGGTACCTCCACAGTGCTGTTGCTATAGCTCCTCTGCCACTGAGATCATATCTCCTTACAATAAATAGGTAAATAGACACAAAGTGTTGGGATGTACAAATATTCATCTATACACAGAGGCAATAGTAAACACTGCAAACTTCCCCCTTAAAATACTTTTTGCAATAGTCAAAGGACCAAGAAGGGCACAGAATTTTGTACTTTTTCCTTACATGAAATTACATAGACAGGCATTTTTGTACTGTATGTCTGTAATATCTGTATTTAAGCAGCATAAATCTCTCAGAATCTATTCAAAACAACATCTTACTACAGAGAGGTCTAGAATAATAGAGAAAACTTTTAGAAGCAAAATTTTAAATTATAAAAACCCTTAAAAAGGACTAGCTAATCCAACGAAATGAACAGTTACCCTCTAGGTAGGACTCAAACAGAAAAGTCCATAAAAAGGAAACCTGGATTGGTAGAGCAGTAATTTTCATCTCACATGCCTCATGACAGCTAATTTCTCAGTCACTCTGGACAGCACTGTGTGTTTACAGACTATTTATTCAAAGGTGGATTCAGGGGAGGAGCAGAAAGATACCCAGAAAAAGCTAAGCTTTCATTTTCACCAAGTTGCACTGCTTTAGGTTGCCTGCCTGCTTCTTCAGGAAAAGGAACCTTTTGGCATTTGTCAGCAGGCTCAAATATCTCGAAATGCTGAAAAGGTGAAACAAAAAACTTTTCCTGTGCTGCCTTCCTATCTGATCTTTTGTCTCATATGTTTCCCTCAGGGATGCACAAGAAATTCCTCTGAATAATTCATATGCACCTAGGCAGAAAGCAGCTTCTACTTCTGAACAAAAAGATGGGGTAAGAAGCTGATTTCAGCTGTTCTTGTTCTGCTCTATCTGGAAGAAAACTGGATTAAAAGAAAAAAGTAATTTTCCTAAGCTAGTAAGCACAGAATATATACATATATGTATCTATGAAGTACATAAACAAACATACATTTATCCCATGGAAGGCACCTTTGCACTTAAAGCTGCACATTCACTTGAGGGCAAGACTGACTCTCCACCTTTCAAAACTCCAAGAAACCATGTAGCACAAGTAGAATGTAGAAACCAGGTCTGCACTGGTGTCACCTCTCCTCAAGTACTGTGTGCAGTTTAGGGTGCCACAAGATAAGAAAGATACAAAGCTATAAGAGTGTTGACAGGAGGGCTATGCAGATGGTGCAGGGCTTTGAGGGGAAGCTATACAAGGAGCAGCTGAGGTCACTTGGCTTGTTCAGCCTGAAGAAGAGGAGACTGAGGGGAGACCTCATTGCTCTGTACAACTTCCTCACCAGAGGAAGTGGAGGGGCAGGCACCAATCTCCTCTCTCTGATGACCAGTGACAGGACCCAAGGGAATGGCCTGAAGTTGTGTCTAGGAAGTTTAGGTTAGATATTAGGAAAAGGTTCTTCACCCAGAGGGTGATTGGGCACTGGAACAGCTCCTCAGGGAAGTGCTCACATCACCAAGCCTGGCAAAGTTCAAGAAGCATTTGGACAATGCTCTCAGGCACATGGTGTGACTCTTGGGGACGTCCTGTGCAGGGCCAGGAGCTGGACTTGATGATCCTAGTGAGTTTCCTCCAAATCAGGATATTCTGTGATTTTGAGAGTTCAACTTTTAGCCTGGAATTAGCAGAATGACTGGTCTTTCCTCTAGAAAACAGTATCCAAGTCCTCTTAGCAAGAGCCACCTTTATTTCCCAATGGCACTGAATATTAGGCAGATGCAAATGACTTCTTTTTCTGGTCTCTATTAGGACTGAAATAGTCTTACTGCTGCAGACCCTTTTTTTGTCCCAACACACACAGAAGACAGAATAAATGCCAGAAAAGACTGTTTCCTAAGCATTTTCTTAATAAGAATATAGATCCAAAACTCATAAGCTATGGGTTAGCTACCCCAAGTGAAGATTTCACAATACAACAGTACTTATGAACACAGACTCAAGACTTACCAGCCTCTGCATGCTTTTCACATGGGTAGGACTAATAGATAAGGCCTCTTCATACCAGCGTTTGGCTTCATCGATATTTCCACGCAGTTCAGCCACCTGACCTCTCATGTAGAGAACATAGTGTGACACTGGAAAGAGATTAGCTGCTTCCTGGGTACATGCTGTGGCCTCAGCAGGCTTCCCAATTCCAATGTAGACTTCAGCTGGGGAAGGAATGTGAGGACCAATTAACGATTCTTACTTCATACCATAACTAGATGTTGTCAGATGTGCTGCATTTGTCAACAGTTTCATTCTAAACAAAGGCTATTTTCCTAAAAGCATTTTGCATCTTAAGAGAAATTATTAACTAAATTATTTTAAATAAATTATATTTTTAGGAAAGTTGCTTTTCTAAATGTAGAAGTCACAACCTCTAAATGGCTGTTTTAAACCCAAGAATATCTTTCATAGTTTATTTTTAACTTGTCTGGGATTTTTTTTAATTTTAGTTTTCTTTTTAAGATACAAGCATGCCAATATTCCAGTACTATTTAAAACAGCCTGACACACACTTGTATCAATCAGATTGACTATAGGGGAAAAAAAAGTTTCATACATTAACAACTAATAATAGAAGAAGCATTTGCCTTCAGTAGCGCTCAGGCACAGTTCAACACTGCTGTTTCACCATCCTGCTGGACTATCCTAAGCTCTTAATGAAGGAATGGGAGAAGAGAGGAATAAAGAGATACTAAATGCAAGGAAAAGCTAATAAAGCTTCTGGTTGGGTCATCTTTTCCTTTACGTTGGCACCGACCCAATAAAAATGGAGCCTCAAAGTAATGGTATAACTGCATTCTGTTGTATCACACTGCACAGGAGTTTTGTGGATTAAGGTCTAAATCAATCTGCTGCATCCAAACAGCCAAGTGATCTGTCATTGCTCAAGGCATGTTTCCCACTGAGCTGTACAGGCCTCCCATCTTGGTTTAAAGGCTCTCGGATCAGGAACTCACACTACAGCAGTGGGTTTGGGATTATGCATAAATCTCTGAATGAGACTGATGTCTGAGTGCCTTTAAAGGAGATTTCTTCCGAGATAATTGCATCAACAGACTTAACAGTATCTCTAACTAGTCAACTTCAGGAGAGCAGAGTGTGCAAACTGTAACTTACAGGTGACACTTGCTATGAATATACATAATTATTTTCATCAAAATCAATTTATAACAATGAGTAACAAAACATGCACTTCCAGTAGCAGGAGGTGAGTAAGCACAGTTTAAAAATCCTTCTCATTTTGCTATTTTTATAACTGATTTTTGCATAGTTGCAGGAGTAAATTATTTTATTCTTCTAAGGCTTGATGCCACTGGTGGGAGAACAGACCTTTTTCTACCAGAGGAGCATAATTTTGATCCTCAGTTGTCTTGGTGATTTCACAGAACACATTCTACCTAACATAAATAATCTGTCCATGTGGATGTATGGGTTAATGTGGTGTATTTTTAGAAACTACTGAAATGTTATTTGATGGAAAAAGTCTCATCCATGTGAGGAACCAACACATGAAATTGGAGATCCAGTCACAGTTTTTCCCCCTAACCCCTGAAGAACCATCTCACCTAGACAGATGGTACTGTGTAACTAAAGAATAACAAACCTGGAAGATAATGAACAGATACAATTTTGAAATCAAAAGAGAAAATAAATCTTGCTAGGATTTTACTTTTACTGTTAGTAGACTCCAAAGGGCAAACTGCAGCCATGATTTAAGAGCTGGACATAGAGCAGAAAATGGAGTTGCACTAAGAAGTGCTTTTTTAAAAAACCCTAAAATATTTTTGAAAAGCTTTGGGTACTTTAATTCTTGAGGGCTTTTCTAAAAGCTACATGGTCAACGTTGCTATGTAAGAAACAAGATTTTGGTGAGTACAAGATACACTACATTATTTAAATGCTAATCATTTGAGCTCTACTGGTCTTACTGTCCCTTTTCCAGCATCATCAGATTTGAAACATAGTTTTAAATACACATTCATGAGTTCCTTGGTGAAAAGACAAGTTAAAAAAAACAATTTACACAGACTGTAAAAGGTACTAAGTAAAAACTATAATTATTTGCAAATAATATGCAGAAACAAAAAATTACTTCAGTAGGGGATTATGTGCTACCACAATAATTCTAGACTGAAAAATAAGCAGAGATTGGCTATTTTAACAGACTACAGTTGCAAGTCTGTATTCCTGGAGACGAAACAAGTATGATAGTAAGAGCTTTTAACACTAGGCTGCAACACTGCATATAAATTTGTCTTATGTTAATGTAAGAGATACTAAATCTTGCTCTCCTGCTTACAAACTGCAGCAGACAAATTTGACAGTTATGGACAGACCTTCCTGAAAGTATCAATCTTAAACAAAATAATTCCTTATTGTCTAAAGTTATTACGGAGTTATTTTGAAAAAAACTTCTCCTTTCCTCTACTAGCAGTTATGCCACCCCAACAGAATATAAACCAGGCTTTTTGGAAAACTGCATGAATGAATGACTAGAAGGTGGAACCTTTGGCTAAGTGTCAGGTGTGAAAGTTCATTCAGGAAATTTCTGAACGGAAAGAGAGCTGTTCATTCTGACATGATGACTTCAAACTGAATAAAAATGTTAAAAACCAACATGGCAGAGTGAAACAAATCAGTTGTGGAAAACTGACAAGTGTCAGCAGACTTTGTAAGCACATCTCAGAGAGAAGCAGCAGTTTGAAAAGAAACCAGGTGCCAAGTCTGATGTGCTTTTCCCAGCATCTCCACCTAGGAAACGCCAAGAATGCCTTCAAGCTCAAACACTTCCAACGCTTACACTGGCATTTCATTGAGGAATCAATCTATTTTCCAATCAAGAGTCATAGCAGTATTGAGTTCAGCCTTGCTGCATTTCTCAAAGGACCATCACAGCCACTGATCACTTAGGGACTACGTCTGGTTTTTAACAGCGAGCTACTGGAGAATGTATTAATTGCCAAAGTCATTTAGTTTCACATTTAAAATAAAGCTGATTTTCCATCTTTACACTGCATGTCCAAAAATGAAAGGCTGAAACAGTCCATTAATAAACACAAGATGAAAAATTAAAAGCTGGTTAATGTGTGCAAAACCAACTTCTATGGACTGAACGCCATGCTCATTACACTAATGACAGCTGAAATGACACTATATATCCATAAGAACAAGCATTTTCCTATTTTTTTACATCATCTATATTAGTTGGGGTATCTTCCACTAAGTTTTGCATGTATTAGAACTTATTTACATAACTTTTCCATGAGTCTGTAATCTTACAGGAAGAATAATTCTCAATTTTAGTATCTTAAAATTGAGAGCTTATTAAAGATTTTTTTCCCCTCAGTAAGAAGCAAAACACTGCACAACCATAGAGGGAGTCAAACAGTTAAATGGGGCACAAGTCTCAAAAAGGAAACAATTTCTCCATGGTAAATCTTCACTTTTATTTAAAGAATATGTGCTGTAAGGTGCTAAGTAATTTTATCGCTGGTTTATGTGCAAGTAACTTGTATAAACACTGATGAAGACACTTTCCAGAATCTCTGCTTTTATTGTGCTTCTGGGAACAAACTTTACTCTTAATGTTCCTACAGTAAAGAGCCTTTCTCAAGGCTCAGTGCACTACTGTAGCAGGACAAGTAGCCGAATAGCAGGAGACCTAAACACACTGAAGCACAGCACAAATCACCAGCAGAAGTACCAAGAACAGGATCATTTCAAAACAAGAGAGGAAGCAACTTCGGGTTGCAGTACCTTGTCTGAATGCAGACAGAAGCTCTCTTTGATCTCCTGGGGGCTTTTGTTTTCATTGCTCCCCACACACAAACAGTCAGAGCACTCTCCATGCTCTGGATCTTTAACACTTTAGCTCATTGTCCAACCCAGCTCTCTCCAGCTTCCCACCCATGCTTCCTCCTGCTGGGAACCAAGAATATGGCCTACAGGTCATGTCTGCCAAGAGAGATATTTTTCAGAGTGGAAAGTGGACTGTGGTGGATTGCAGCAGCAGAACACCAGTGTGTATGCAAACCTGACTAAGTTGTGAACTGAAAATGAATCAGCAAAGTGTGTCCAGACCTCTCCTTTGTGGGCAAAACAGCAGCAGTCACTTGCACGGATTGAACAATCAGCAACAGGGCATTATCAACAAAAATTAAAAACAAGACAAACAGAAAATAAGCAGTGGAACCAACTTATTCCAGGTTGAGAAATTATCAGCACTATAAATGCTAAGAGCTACTGTAGATGGCTCTCTGTGACAGTGTATAAATACTTAAAATCAACATTGCCATGATGTAGGGCAGGTGACTATGCTCTGTTGGACCTTGCCTGGGTCTCATCTGCGTTGCTCTCCAGGAGCTCTTCCACCCCCAAATGATATCACTATTATTAATCACTCTAATTGCTCTTTCTTTCCAATCTTCTGGGCTTTTCCTCTAAAACACTAATTAATAACTGGGAGCCATTGTCCTACAAGGATTTTCACACAATAAAACTGTTAATGCAAAATAGGTAAATTAAAATGCTAAGAAATAAAGCACTGTTTTGCTGAATATAAACATGAAGGGAAAGAAGTTATTTCACTGAAAAATGCTCTGGGAGCAAACCAAAGCAGAACAATTGTTGGCTGATTACTAAGTTACACCTTTCTGATGCAAGTATCAATAAAAACAATTGCATGTTATACATTTTTAACAGTGTAAAAATACACCGGATCATCATTTTCTGGTTAAAATTTTATGTAACAGCCACTTGTGATATCGTATTTAGCTTGAGGCTTGAAGCAGTATAACAATACTACATCTACTCAAGATGACTCCATATTTAGACAAATAATTCTGGGTCTTTACATTAATGAAGCCAGAAGGAAAAGATCTGAATGAGAGCTCATTATCACAGCTGCAAGGGACAGGCTGCTCAATAGAACTACTACTGTTTTTCCCCTTGCCATATGCAGTTACTATTTACAATGATAAAGCTTTCCTAGTTACAGGAACTCTATTCAATAATGTTACAAATACCTTTTTCAATCCAATGGTACCAGGACATCTAAATTTCCAAATATTAACATACTCTAGGTACTTCAGAAACTAAATTATCTGGGGATCAGGGAGAAAGTGTTGCCTGTGTTCTACAGGAGATACAACTCCACTGATAACAGCTGCAGTCTAAAACTACTGCCTTATCTTACCTAAATGATCTTACACACTGAGCAACTGTAGTGTGCTTTTTATTTCTTGGCTTGCTTCAGTGCCACACAGACATGGGAAAAATTTGATCTGATAAGTGATTAACAGATTCTGATTGAAATCAACGGATTTTTGCAAGTTCTTAGGCTAGCAAGAACGGGGAGGGGAAAGAAAAGTAAAAAGTTTCACTTCCATAATACCTGCATGAAGCCATATTTGAGCCAGAGTCATCCAAGGGTGCAGAGGACCTTGCTTAGGGGCACTGCTTTGCAGAGAAGAAGCAACCTCAGACAATGCTTGCTCCACTCTGGAAGCTGCTATTGATGTGGCATGGACTGAACCTGTAGAAGCAATAAAAATAATTACCATTATAGAAAGAATTAAGGCCACATAGACTGGATAAAACATTTACTCCTAACCCTTTTCATTCAAGGCTTTACCCTAAACTCCTAAAGATTTAACTTGCATTTACTATTTTTGAGAAGATTTCTAAATGTCAGGTTAATTTTCCTTCTTATAAAAGCTTTTATACTGGTCTGAAAGATTCTATAAAAAACACATTGAACATTGGTAACTATACCTGACAGTTTTTTGGGTTGCTACTATGAATACTTTCTATTAAACTTGACACCTCTTTTCTGGCAATGTACAATCCAAAAAAGGTTTGTGATGGTATCATACACTGTAGTCTCAGGTTGTTGCATGCACTTTGATGTTAGTATTTGCTGTGTCTTTCCACAGAGTGCAATTTGAGGGTTATTTTAAGACTAATAACAGAACAAAAAAAAGAGAACGAAAACACACAACGATCACAACATACTCCATCACAAATACACAATTAAACTGCACTGAATGTAGAAATTGGCTAATCAAGAAGGCTGAGTAAAAATGCCTTGTGGAAAAATGCCCTTGCATAAAGAGAATTCCCAAAGCATACTAAGGATAATTCTCATAAAATGAAACAATTCCAAGTGAGATTAGGATCTCACTGGCAAATAACACCCTTTTCAAAGTACTGAAATTAAAAAAACTTCTATGACTAGAGAATATCTAGTGGCAACTGTACTTTGGATAGCCAATTATTGCCAGCATATTTAGTCATGATTTATTTTTTTAAATCCAGACCATGAATATTTTAAGCTACACTCCTTGTCACCTCAGCCTCAATGTATCTCTAGGTGTTTTTTCATTACAAGTTACAAAATCTCAATCTGGCTCGGCCTGGTCAATAAATAGCAACAGGAAAATATTCTGCATAGGATTAGATGAGAAACTGTCTAATCCCATCACCATATCCATAATGGTCAACAATGGCAGATATTCCAAAAGAAAATACTGAATCCTGTACATGTTGAACTGCATCCCAAAAGCTCATCCTCATCACTAGAATTTAAGAAATAAACAAAACCTTCACTCTCAATATCACAGGTATTTTGAAGATTTTAACAGAAGGAGATCTGCCACAAAAACCCCATACATTCTTAAGTGTGACAAGATAGATCAGCAAAACAGAAAGCACCAGAAATTCCTAGTACACACATCAGTAGGAAGAGGAAGCTTGTCTGAAAGTGTGCATCATGTTTCCCTTAACTGACAGAAACAAGGGAAAAGCAGCACAGGGCATAATTAGCATTTCATGTCATTATGAACAAGGAATTGCCCTGAAGACCTGAAACAGTATTTGGCAGTGAGTTTGCTCTTTACTGGCTGATAAACTACTCAAACTCCATCCTGAACAGCAGAATATTCACTACAGGTTTTGTGTATCTTATTTTAAGGCTTAACTTCCAAAGAAATACAAAAGGGAAGCAAGAAGCATGTGGCACATATTCCAAGAAAAATACTAGCAAGGGCACCATAAATAAGCACTAGCCACCAGTGATTCTTGTCTTGTCTGAGAGCTATGTCTGGAACCACATGTCACTGCACCCTGTCACT